AAGTACCTTTGGAAGTAATGTTACTATATCTGCTTTAAAAGTAGCACACTGCAGGCCGCGGGCGGTGGCTCACGCCTGTTATCCCAGCACTTTGGGAGGCTGAGGCAGGTGGATCACGAGGTCAGGAGATCGAGACCATCCTGGCTAACATGGTGAAACCCTGTCTCTACCAAAAATACAAAAAATTAGGCGGGGCTTGCAGTGAGCCGAAATCACGCCACTGCAGTCCAGCCTGGGAGACAGAGCAAGACTCCGTCTCAAAAAAAAAAAGAAAGTAGTACACTACAAATGTACTTTGATCACTCATTGATGATTATCAGGATAATATAATTATCGGGATAACAGAATTAACAGACAACGTTTGCTAAAAATTATACATTGTTTTGTATTGTGTGTGTATATTAATAAATTGGGGAGTTCACTTTGATATCACCAAAGAAGTCATCATGGGCAAACAGTAAAAGTAACTGAATAAAGGTAGCTCAAAACACTAGCTAAGGATTTTAAGCATTTTTTGGAAGGAAACAAAGATGAAAAGATAAGTGTGATTAATCAAAGCATGGCTGAATACTGTAGGTTCCTGGTTGCCTTCCAAATAGGAAACAATACTACTACATAAAGCAAATGAGTGCCTTGCTACCATCAATTACAAAGCTAAGAATTCTTTAAAAAATAATTAACATTTTGAATAAATAGCACATAAACAAAAATATTTTCTATATATGATCACTATGGCAGGAACTCACATTACAAATAACTGGTTCTCATGCTTAGATATTTTCAGATTTACAAATAAAAACTACTAAAAGTTTGGTTCTTAAAGCACTTATAATAATTCCTAAACACAATAAATGCACACCACTTCCTGTGAAATATACAAAGGTGGTCATCTGCAGTACGCTGAATGGGCACTGAATCCCATGAACCGATCCTGGGGTAACCAAGCCTCTTACTTAAATCTAGGTTTCAAGAATTTGAAAGGCTCTGTAGTACATGGATCACCTTTAGGTTCCTTTCAACACTGTGATGCTATGATATTAGAAGTTGCTTATCCAGAGAACACACCAACACTGAGGTGAACACAAAAAACAGTAGTTACAGCTACTTGTCACATCCCTACCCTAAGAAACTGGGCAATAAAATTCAATCTGTGACCTATTATACCTCATCTGATGTAAATTACTAAGAGAACGTGCTTAATAGGCAAGATCCAGGGCAGTCTTAAATACTTATTGCTTTATTTTCCAGGCTAATCAATAACGTTGCTAGAGAATAAATACAACTTCCTCTCTCCAACTTGAGGCTAAAAAAAAAAAAAAAAACCAGAATAAATATGTGACCTGGTCCATTCCTGTGAAATGCTTTGTCAACATTCTCTTTGAAAAGCCATCAGAAACAGCTCCCCAAAACTGCTGGTGCTTCTGTTCGTCTATGTAAGTGGGTCATTCTACTGTTACAAGTAAAACACAACTTTCTGACGCAACCAGAAAAACAATACCAAAACACTGTTAACATCACTGGAGAGATGTCATAAATCTCTAAAAATACTGTCATGTGGGGAAACCACCTACACTGTGTATTTACTTATGTCAACATTATGCATGGTGTGGAATACTTTCACTTATCTATATATGAATATATTTGCATACATAAAAATATATTCAACAGGTTTTGCACACAATATTGCACAAAATAAAATGTAATAAGCAGATTCTAGCTTACCATTCTTTTATTCATTTACCAAACATTTAGTGAGGGCCTACCATCACGCCAGCTATCAGGGACAAACTAGGAGGCAAAACCAGAAATCATCCCTTGTCCTCAGGAATCTCAAAATCAACTGGAAACACAAATCCAAATCTTGTAAAACTGTTAACTGAGAAACTACAAATTGAGAAACAAAACTGCAAATCTGATTGATAAATTAGCAGTGATTATTCACACTACTAGAATTTTTTTTCCAAATGATTCATCCAACTTTTTAAATTTTATTTTTACTGCTCCTTACCGAGCTGGACTACGCCCCTAGGCAGTGCACCTAGAGTAGCGCATTCAACTTTTTAGTCAGTCATCCTCACTGTTGAAATACATACAGGGCTGCACTGCTTACCATTTTCATCACTACTGAAGTGGTCTGGGTGAGGCACCGCGTTCTCTCACCTGGTCTCTCAGACATTGTAATCCCCCAAACCTGTGAATATGTTACTTTACATACTCATACAAGAATTTTGCGGGTGTAATTAAGAACTTCCATATGAAGATATTGTCCTGAATTATCTAGGTGGGCCCAATGCAATCACAAGTGTCTTTATAAGAAAGACACAGGAGTGCTGGAGAGGGCAGAGGGTGTGACTGGAAGATGCTGTTTCGCTGGCTGTGAAGATGAAGGAAGAAGTCAAGAGCCAAGGAATTCAGGCAGGCTTCATAAGGTGGAAAAGCCAAGGAATAAACGTATGTTCCCCTAGTACCTCCAGAAAGAACACAACCCTACTGACACTTTGGTTTTAGCCTAGTGAGATTTACAGATTTACAGACCTAGTCTGATCTACAGACTAAAAGACAGTAAATTTGCATTGTTAGCAACCAAGAAAGTTGCTGAAATTTGTTACAGGAGCAATGGAAGACTAATACAATTTCCTAAGTAGTCTCTCTGCTTCCATTTTTGCTCTCCATTTAGCCTCAAAAGGAGCAATCCAAATTATCTTTTTAAAATGTACGCCATACGAAGTCATCCTTCTGTTCAAAATCTTACAATGAAATCCAAAGTCCATGTAAGACCCTTCACCTCTCTGACATCATTTCCCACTCTCTCCTACTGTGAAGTTCAGCCACACTGCTTCCCTGCCGCTCCTCTATTCTCCTTGCATGCTCCAGTCTTGGCACTCTTCCCTCTGCCTGAATCAGACCCCTACTCTTACTCCCAGACTCCTATCCTTGAGGTCCTTTCTTAAATGTTACCTTCTCTAAAAGACAACCTGGACATTCCATCCCAAATTGCAAGCCCCACCCCCTAACACTCCCTCATCACTTCCCTCCCCTTACCGTTTTTCCTTAGCATTTACCACCAAACCCAATACACAGCTTACTTCTGCTTACTGCCCGTTTCCAAGAAGGCCAAAATTTCTGCGTTGTTTGCTGCTGCATCCCTAGCAACTATGCCTGGCACATATTAGACACTTAATAAATATTTGTTGACTCAATCAATGTACCAGATGGAGACACTTAAAAACGTAAAGCTGTGATTTAAAAAGAAAGAAAAATATGACGCAGGAAAAAAGATAATCAAAACCGCTACGATTAAGAGATAACGATTCTTTTAAGCTTTTGCCACATTCGAACGCAGAATCTGGAAGGAAATTAAAACCACATGACTATATCAAAAATGAAAATATTCTGGAGAAGCAAAATAAGCCAGTAACCTATTTCTTAATTTAAAAAAACAAAAAACCGCAACGCAAAATGCCAGCATTTTCTCGGCATTTCTTCCCTAAAACATTCACACCTGCCAAACAGGTCTCGGCAAATAAACATTTGCTTTTCTGAAAAACTGTGGTTCTGATGTTAGCAATTTTGGGACGAAATCCGTATGCAGAAAAAGCGCCAAGCCGCCCGCAATCCACCCAGTCCATGACCCTTTTTTAGGACAAAACCCCTGGGAGCTGGGGCCTGCGGGAGCTTCACGCAGTCTGGAGCTGAAGGGACACAGCGAGCGCCCCCACCCGCGACGCCCCTACTCCGTGAAGGCCTCCCTGGGGGGCTGGCGAAGCGTCCGGGGGTCTCTCAGCGCAGCGCTGGGGCCCAGATTTCTGCGCCCGTCGTGCGGGGGCCAGAGAGGGACAGCGCAGCGCTGGGGCCCAGATTTCTGAGCCCGTCGTGCGGGGGCCAGAGAGCGACAGCGCAGCGCGGAGACGCAGAGACTACGCGGGAAGAGAGCCGGCGGTGCGTGAAATAAACCTGTTCTCTCCTCTAACCTCAAAGACAGCGGCTCACCGCGGTACGCGGTCACCGGCTTTGGAACCTGGACCCCAACTTGCCTCTTCTCGCGGCGGGACAGTCACCGACGCTCGCTTACCGAGGCCTCGCCGCCAACTCTCGCACCCCGGCCGCTCAGGCTGGAATCCTGCGGGGCAGGGGGCGGGACAATAGGGGCGGCTGCGCCCCACTCGGCCGAACTCCGCCCACCAGGCGCGATGCTGGAACTACATGTCCCATGAGGCTCTGGGAGGCCGCAGTTTTCCACCGGAAAGAGGTTGGCTGAGGTGGGGGAGGAGCCCAAAAGGGATTGTGGGAGTACAGCTCTTTCCTTTCCGTCTGGCGGCAGCCATCAGGTAGGCTGCGTTGGAGATCTTTGCTCTTCCATCCGCCGTTGATCGTCTTCCTCTTCAACCATCCAGGCCCGGGGACCCTGCGTCCTCCGAGATAGGTCTCTCTCCTGTGCGGCCAGAGTTTGGTCAGGATGCGGGACAGCGAGGGGGTGGAGAGGCGGCCCCCGGGGCGGGTTGAGCGAAGATGTGATGGCGGCGCGAATTTGAGCTGGGCCCGGATCCTGGAGGAGGCGTGGGGCTGACGAATGGGGCGCCCGGGACAAGGCAGCCTAAAGAGAGACTGCTGGTTGGGTGGGGTAGATGCATTTTCCTCGAGAGTTAATCCTCGGCGGCCGCAGCAGTACGTTGCCCTGTTGTGTCAGCGGCATCTCCTTGCAGGTTCCCCTTGGGGACGCCGCCTGCCGCAGCCACCCGCCCCCTTGGTGCTCACCTCTGGCTCTGTTCATTCGCCCCACCAAAACGTGCCGAGCACCGCGCCGGGGTTGCGGAGGTGACTGAACGCGGCTCCGTGGGCGCATTGGTGGGGGTTGGGCTAGCTGTCCCCGGCAGTTGGTGCAGAGCCATTTTCATTCCCGGCGGTTTCCTTGTGCTTGTTGGGGAACTAAGATGGACGAGTAGGGTCGTCTTATTGTACTTCAAGCGGATGATATTTAATACCCAGTTTGATTTCACAGGTAAGCCAAGATGGGTGCATACAAGTACATTCAGGAGCTATGGAGAAAGAAGCAGTCTGATGTCATGCGCTTTCTTCTGAGGGTCCGCTGCTGGCAGTACCGCCAGCTCTCTGCTCTCCACAGGGCTCCCCGCCCCACCCGGCCTGATAAAGCGCGCCGACTGGGCTACAAGGCCAAGCAAGGTACGTGATCGACTGCCTGGATGCTAGGATAAAGTTATATTCCAGGAAAGTTGGAAACCAGCTGGTAGGAAAACACTGCTGCCCCAGTGTCTTCTCATAGGGCTTTGGCAGAATAGAGCTAGCAACAATGGTCAGTTACTTTATGCGCTTGTTGTCTAAAGTGGCAAGTGCGTCAAAGGTTGCAAATCTGGATGAGTTCAGACTAAAGCAAACAGTGTGTCTCCCTGTGTGAGTAACCTAAAGTACATTGACAGACTGGGATGTGTTTTATTTTTTTCCATTATATAGCATTAACTTACTGTTGAAGTATTTTTGGTGGAGTGTTAATGACAAGCCATTGAGTCTTAAGCCTGATGGGCTTCCTATAAAATCACTAATTTTGTGTGTGTTTGTGTGTAGGTTACGTTATATATAGGATTCGTGTTCGCCGTGGTGGCCGAAAACGCCCAGTTCCTAAGGGTGCAACTTATGGCAAGCCTGTCCATCATGGTGTTAACCAGCTAAAGTTTGCTCGGAGCCTTCAGTCCGTTGCAGAGGTAAATGGTTTTGAGTAGCAGTTATATTGAATACTGCCTGGGGACGGTGGGAGAGACATTTAAGCAACTCTTTTGATTGTACTTAACGTGAACTGTCTCGTGTATAAAATAGGGTTTGTGATTTTTACTAATCTTGGTAAAGAGTAATTGCTTGAAAGACTTGTAAGTCGTTATTACAAATGCGTGTGTATATACTGGAAGTACTTGTGGAACCTAAGCTTTAAAGGCAAGAATATGCAGAAGAGACCAAATGTGGCCTGCACAGCCTAAAATATATACTAGATATTTTTAAAGCTAAACGTTGCTGAGCTCTCAGTTGTATTGGAAAAAGATAAGGTCCTCAAATCCTAAATTTTGTTACCCAGGTATTAGTAAGGACTGGAGTATTAAGAGGGAATGGTGTGTTTCAGTCTATATTTATGTGTGTTGTTTTAGCAAGTTTACTTTATCTCGTTATACTTGTGATAGTCTAGGGAGAAATGCTTCGTAAATACTTGAGTAGTAAAAGACTCCTGTCTGGTGGTGAACTAGAGTTGAGAATTAAAATTCTTTCTGACTCGCTGCTATGGGCAATGTGGGAGACTGACCTTGGCCTTTTTTCCTATTCTAGGAGCGAGCTGGACGCCACTGTGGGGCTCTGAGAGTCCTGAATTCTTACTGGGTTGGAGAAGATTCCACATACAAATTTTTTGAGGTTATCCTCATTGATCCATTCCATAAAGCTATCAGAAGAAATCCTGACACCCAATGGATCACCAAACCAGTCCACAAGCACAGGGAGATGCGTGGGCTGACATCTGCGGGCCGAAAGAGCCGTGGCCTTGGAAAGGGCCATAAGTTCCACCACACTATTGGTGGTTCTCGCCGGGCAGCTTGGAGAAGGCGCAATACTCTCCAGCTCCACCGTTACCGCTAATATAAGTAAAGTTTGTAAAATTCATACCTAATAAACAATTTAGGACAGTCATGTCTGCTTACAGGTGTTATTTGTCTGTTAAAACTAGTCTGCAGATTGTTTCTTGAATGCTTTGTCAAATTAAGAAAGTTAAAGTGCAATAATGTTTGAAGACAATAAGTGGTGGTGTATCTTGTTTCTAATAAGATAAACTTTTTTGTCTTTATCTTATTAGGGAGTTGTATGTCAGTGTATAAAACATACTGTGGTATAATAGGTTTAAAATAAATTCTTTAAGAGAACTGAAACTAGCCCTGTAGATTTGTCTGGTGCATGTGATGAAACCTGCAGCTTTGTTGGTGATGGCAATGCTGTGCTGGTTTACTTTCAAGTGGCTGGATTTTTTTAGTTTGACAGGTACAGACTTTTTTAACTGGGCTTTAGAAAATCTGGGTTAGCCTGAAGAAAATTGCTTCTGCCTTCATAGTACCATTTTAAATTCACATACAAAAGGTGAAAGCTCCCTAGTTCAGTGCTGTGGCTTCATGTAATTCAATGATTCGTGGTAGTGGTATTAATACTGGTGTGTTTTGAAATTGAATGTGAGATAAAATTAGCCTTAAGATTGGTAAGCTAGCAATGAATGCTAGGGTGGGAAGCTGGTAAGCCAGTGGCCGTTAGATAAATACCTTTCAAGTGTGAGAAGTCAATCCTAAAATATTTAACCGTAATGCTAATTGTGATCATTATGAATCCTTTCAGTCACATTAGAGGGGAAAGTAGTTGGCTATAAGTACCTCATTCTTAGTCCAGTCAGTCTTAAAAACATCTTGGGTTACCCATTCTGTGCACTCCCACAGGCTACAGAAAAGGTCATAAGCGCATGGTTTGCAACCGTATGTGTTTTGTGCAGTTACTTCTCTTGTTCTTGGCCAAACTACCCTAAAAATCCTTACCATTCCACAAAGTTGGGCCATCACTTGTGCTCCCACTTTGAGTACACCACCACATTGCATTTCTGTTTCTATCATGTCTTCCAGGAGACAAGACTGTTTCCCAGGGTGGATTTGAGTATAAAGAAAAGGTAGACAAGGAATTGCCCAATTCTAAATTCTGACTTTACTGACTTAAATCTAAATGCTCGTTTCTCTGAACCAATTTTCTCTGATCTTCTCTAGGGGTTTCAAAAGGCTCAGTTAATTGAATTCCAGGAAGTACTCAGCAAGTTCATAGAAGTTCTTGAGACCTAAATTTCTTCACACACACAAAAAAAGATCTTAAGTCATACATTTTTATTGTGTAGAAGTTGTTCAACTGAAGGAATAAATGTCTATTAAAAGAAATGGACTTTCTGTTATTTTTTGTCATCTTCTAGTGCTAATGTACTTTAAAGCAAACCAAATACCCTAGCCAGCAAAAAGGCATCAAAATGTGATTGTAGAAATAACATAATTTGAGGTAGCATAAAATGTACTTACTATCTCAGTTCTTTGATCATTGCATGAATTAAGTTTTTATCTAAAACTGTTCAGCTGGGTGCGGTGGCTCAGGCCTGTAATCCCAGCACTTTGGGAGACAGGCTGGAGGATTTGTTGAGGCCAGCCTGGGCAGCATAGTGAGACCTCTATTTAAAAACAAAGAACAACTTACACATGGCTAATTTGGGAAAGAGAAAGGGTTCGGGCCAAAGGTCAGCATTGTCTACAAGAAAACCTTGTTCCTGTCCTTGCTACCCTACAGTTTAATCTCCACACAGTAGCCCAAGGGATTCTATTAAATTGATCACGGCACTCCTGTGCAAAAAAATCAAAAGTCCTCACAATAGCTTTTATGATCTTTCCACTTTTCTATGTGTGACCTTATGTCCTATTGCTGTCCTCACCCCAGGCTCCTTGCTGTTCTTCAAATACACCAAACACTTCTAATACCTTTATGATGGGAAAACTTTATTCCAATATTAAGGATCACTTTATTAGCTATGCCCTGACCACCTCACAAGCTGTTCCCATTTGCTTTACTATTTCTGTAATGGCACATAATTCACACAGCAACATTGATTATTCAGTTTTTTTTTTTTTTTTCAGATGGAGTCTCACTCTCACCCAGGTGTGAGTGCAGTGGGGCAATCACGGCTCACTGCAACCTCTGTCTCCTGGGTTTGAGCGATTCTCCTGCCTCAGCTTCCCAAATAGCCAGGACTACAGGCACACACCGCCACGCCCAGCTAACTTTTGTATTTTTAGTAGAGACGGGGGTTCACCATGTTGGCCAAACTGGTCTTGAACTCCTGACCTCAAGTGATCCACCTGCCTTGGCCTCCCAAAGTGCTGGAATTACAGGCATGAGCCACCACACCGGGCCCAAATTTTCTTTAGTAATAACAACAATTGGCTGGGCGTGATGGCTCACACCTGTAATCCCAACACTTTTGGAAACCAAGGTGGGCTTGAGATTATGAGTTAGAGACCAGCCTGAGCAACGTGGTGAGAGCCCATCTCACATAAAATAAATAAATTAGCCGGGCATGGTGTTGCACACCTGTAGCCTCCGAAATCACACCACTGCACTCCATCCTGGGTGACAGAGCCAGAACTTGTCTCAAAAAAATAATGGTTTCTTATAATCCCAAAAGGTACAGTTACTAGTATTAATCCTTTTTTGCCAATGAGGAAACACAAAGATGAAGCAACTTGCTTAAAGTCATACAGTGACAGACTGAATTCAAATCCTATACACTTAAAGTTTATTTTCTTTTTCTTTTTTTTTTTTTTTTTTTTTTTTTTGAGATGGAGTCTCACTCTCGCAAGGCTGGAGTACAGTGGCACGATCTCAGCTCACTGCAACCTCCACCTCCCGGGTTCAAGTGATTCTCCCGCCTCAGTCTCCTGAGTAGCTGGGACTACAGGTGCACACCACCACACCCAGCTAATTTTTGTATTTTTAGTAGAGACGGGGTTTCACCATGTAGGCCATGTTGGCCAAGATGGTCTCAAACTCCTGACCTCAGGTGATCCTCCCGCCTCGGCCTCCCAAAGTGCCAGGATTACAGTTGGCCACTGTGCCCAGCCAACTTAAAGTTTTTGTTAGATAATACATTAATGTTAAAAATTCAAAAGTATAGGCGCTACAGTACAAACTCTTCTGCCTCCTAGTTCCCGTCCTTGGAGGCAATGTAATCAGTTTAACAATATTTTTTTATTTTGAGACAGGGTCTCACTGTTGCCCAGGCTGGAGTGTAGTGGTGCGTTCACAGCTTACTGTAGCCTCGATCTCCTAGGCTCAAGCGATCCTCCCACCTCAGCCTCTCGAGTAGCTGGGACCACAGGTGCACACCACGATGCCAGGCTAATTTTTGTATTTTTTGTAGAAACAGGGTTTCACCATGTTGCTCAGGCTGATCTCAAAGTCCTGGGCTCAAGCAATCTTCGCATCTCTGCTTCCCAAAGTGCTGGGATTACAGGTGTGAGCCACTGTGCCTGGCCTACATATGTATTTTTTCCTTTTTTCCTCCAAGTTGTAGGATATGATACACATTGTTGATTTTTTTGTTTGTTTAGTTATGTATCTCAGAGCTTATTCTTTATCAGCTCATGAAAACTTTTTTTTTTTTTGAGACGTAGTTTTGTTTTTGTAGCCCAGGCGATCGTGGCTCACAGCAACCTCTGCTTCCCAGGTTCAAGCAATTCTCCCGCCTCAGCCTCCTGAGTATCTGGGATTACAGGTGCCTGCCACTACATCCAGCTATTTTTGCATTTTCAGTGGAGATAGGGTTTCACCATTTTGGCCAGGCTGGTCTCGAACTCCTGACCTCAGGTGATCTGCCCATCTCAGCCTCCCAAAGTACTGGGATTACAGGTGTGAGCAACCACGCCCGGCTGGAACTTCATTCTTTTGGTATAACTGCACGGTATCCCATCAGGTGGATGTACCATGATTCATTGGATATGGACCCTACTGATGGATATTTAAATTTCTTCCAATCTGGTGCTATTACAAAAAGAAAAATGTGTGCATACATCTTTATTCATCTGTAGAATAAATTCTAAGAAGTAGAATGGCAGAGTTAAAAATCATATGTATGTAATTTTTTATAGATATTGACAAATTATCTTCCATAAAAGTTGAACCAATTTACACTACCACCAGCAAAGTAGGAGAGGACTTGCTTATCCACACCCTCTTTAATGCATGAAATCCAATTTTGGGATACTGCCAGTCTGTTAGGGGGGAAATGATATTGTTCTCCACTTTTATTTTGCATTCTGAGTATGGCAGAGGCAAAGCTACGTGCATACCATAGCTTTTTCTCCCACCTGAAAACACAACTAAACTACGCTGTTTTCCTGGCCTCTCATTCATTTGCGTTGGGGTCATATTACTTCCCTCCAAGACAAACAACAGTTGGTATGCCTCCTCCACACTTCCCACAACTGTGGAAGCCAGTGATCCAGATAGCATAGCTATTAATGCAAGATGGAAGAAAGCTGCTCAACCCCATCAGACAGCATGAGTGGTAAGATTTTATTGTGTCAAACGACTGCATTAGTTGTGTTTTGTTATTATGGCAGCATAGCCTACCTTGGCCCTAACTAATTCAATAAATAAAGTTGAGCATCATTTGTACATTTAAGAGCGTTGATGTTTGCTTTACAGTGACTTTCCACTTTTCTATCAGAGAATCCCCCCCTCCCTTATGTACCATGCTATATTAATAAATTGGAAGGTAGTTGCTAGCTCATTTCTGCTATGCTTCATTATTTTTCTGCTTATTAGATTCTTATTTTTTGAGACGAGTCTCTGTCGCCCAGGCTGGAGTGCAGTAGCGCGATCTCAGCTCACTGCAACCTCCACCTCCCAGGTCCAAGTGATTTTCATGCCTCAGCCTCCCGAGCAGCTGGGATTACAGGTGCGCGCCACTACTAATTTCTTTGTGTTTTAAGTAGAGGCAGGGTTTCACCATGTTTGCCAGGTTGGTCTATTACCCCTGACCTCAGGTGATCTGCGCCCATCTTGGCCTCCCAAAGTGCTGGAATTACAGGAATAAGCCACCAAACCTGGCCCTGCTCATGAGATTCTTGAAGGTAACTTTATGTAGAATAAATTCTTCAAATTTCAACTGTTCATTTTCGCCTTTCAATTCTGAGTTCTGAGTTCATCTTTAAGTTCTGAAATTTCTAAACCAAATTAGTGGGTCTATTGTATCAGGCAGACTAAATGAGGCAACAGTAACAACCTCCAAATTTTAGTGGCTTAAAATAATAAAAGATTTGTTTCTTGATCATACTTCATGTTTTTTAGAGATCGTTCTCACTCTAGAATCCAGACTGTTAGAACAGACACTATCTGGAACACTGCGAGGTGTCCATGACAGAGGACAAAGAGCATGGCATAGAACACCCTAACTTGTAGAGCTTCTGCTCAGGTTGTCCGAAGCAAGTCCCATGGCTATGCCTGGGTACAAATGGTGGGGAAATCTTCCAGTGCTTGGCAAGAGAGAGAGAATCAAATATTTGTGAACAACTCTAATGTCTACCACACACACTAATCCACTTGGTTTCTCTTTAGTCTTTAGTCTTTGTACACATTTGAAGTATTATGGAGAACAGCTGGTATACCAAGGTGGAAGTAGGAACCAGCGCAGTTCACACTGGTAGAGAGAATATTTTGTCACTGACGTTGCTAGTATTGCCAGAGTATGATGATGATAAAAAAGAATATACTGAGAGTGGGCTTGGTGGCTCACACCTGTAATCCTAGCACTTTGGAAGACCAAGGCAGGTGGATCGCTTGAGCTCAAGAGTTTGAGACCAG